TAGTGCCCCATCGTTGGTGTCAGTGTGGAGGAGGAATAGTGCCTCATCGTTGGTGTCAGTGGGAAGAATCGTGCCCCATCATTGGTGTCAGTGGGAGGAATAGTGCTCCATCATTGGTGTCAGTGGGAGGAATAGTGCTCCATCATTGGTGTCAGTGGGAGGAATAGCGCCCCATCATTGGTGTCAGTGGGAGGAATAGCGCCCCATCATTGGTGTCAGTGGGAGGAATAGCGCCCCATCATTGGTATCAGTGGCAGCAATTGCGCCCCATCATTGGTGACAGTGGGAGGAATAGCGCCCCATCATTGGTATCAGTGGCAGCAATTGCGCCCCATCATTGGTATCAGTGGAAGGAATAGCGCCCCATCATTGGTATCAGTGGCGGGAAAAGTGCCCCATCATTGGTATCAGTGGGGGGAGAATAGTGCCCCAACATTGGTGTCAGTGGGGGGGGGGGGAATAGTGCCCCATCGTTGGTGTCAGTGGAGAGGAGGAATAGTGCCCCATCGTTGGTGTCAGTGGGGGGGGGGGGAATAGTGCCCCAATCGTTGGTGTCAGTGGGGAGGAGGAATAGTGCCCCATCGTTGGTGTCAGTGGGGGAGGAACAGTGCCTCATTGTTGTGCCAGTGGGGGGGAGGAATAGTGCCTCATCGTTGGTGTCAGTGGGGGAGGAATAGTGCCCAATCATTGGTGTCAGTGGGGGAGGAATAGTGCCCAATCGTTGGTGTCAGTTGGGGAGGAATAGTGCCCCATCGTTGGTGTCAGTGGGGGAGGAACAGTGCCTCATCGTTGGTGTCAGTGGGGGAGGAACAGTGCCTCATCTTTAGTGTCAGTGGGGGAGAGGAATAGTGCCAAGAGTGTCACAGCATGGTGCTGCTGCACACTTACTGGCCGCTCCCTCACTCGATTTTCGCGGGGCCGCTTGGCTCCGCCTCCTCACTGGTGATTGGTTGCCTGTGTGCCTTTCCAGTGCTGGCGCCCAATCACCGGTGAGGAGGCGGAGCCGAGTGGCCGCGCGACCATCGAGCGGCCGAACTGAAAGAAGGAGGAGCCGCGCTTCCTGGACCGGATCGTCGTGGGACCGGGACCGGAGCCAGGTAAGGTACAGCAGCCCCCTGTCCGCCCCTGTACTTAGTGTCCCTTCTGCCACCGCGCCGCCCCTGACACCAGCTCGCCGTATACCGGTGTATAAGACGACCCCCGACTTTTCAGAAGATTTGCATGGGTTAAAAAGTCGTCTTAGACGCCGGCAAATACGGTACTTTAGAAAAAAAGGCTGCCAGCTCATAACCACCACTCGCAGAGGTGATGGATAGAAGGAAGGCAACCTCATGCATGACAATGGAAAGGGGGGTTATCCGTGATAGTTTCAAAGGTGGGGATCTTTTGGAGGACCAAATTTAGATTCCATGTAGTCACACAATATTGTACATAAGTGACTACAGCACATGAGCAAACACCCCGTGCAATGGGCTTAGTAAAAATAGTTACAATTTTCCAAGGCGAAAGGACATCCATCCTCCTAGGACACAGGCAAAAACGTGAAACATGATGAAAATCGGTGAGGTTATACCTGACTGGTCAATAGATTATTGGTTGCTGGTGTCCAATTCCTCCTGTAGGCAGCAGTATAACCTGGCTGTTTAGGAGTTACCTCTAATCCTGTGTCATTTTTTGAATGAAAAAAAAAGACAGCTAAAACAAGTGTGGGGCAAAACGTGTCAATGGTTTGTGGAGAAGCGTAGGATGGCCTCTCCTTATTTCTATTAGCCAGAAGAGCAGTGACCACTCTATTCACATACAGTTGCAAGAAAAAGTATGTGAACCCCTTGAGATTACGTGGAGTTTTGCATGAATTGGGCATAAAATGTGCTCTGAACGTCATCTAGGTCACAACAATAGAAGAACACAGTCTGCTGAACATAATACTACACAAACATTAGATGTTGCCATGGTTTAATTGTACATAACATGTAAACAGTCACAGTGCAGGGAGGAAAAAGTATGTGTGGCCCTAGCTTAATGACTTCTCCCAGAGTTAATTGGAGCCAGAGTGAGCCAACCTTGACTTCAATCAGTGTGATGATATTGGATGTGTTGCTGACAGCTGTCCTGCCCTTAAAAAACACACACCTGTTTTGGGTTTACTGGTTTCAAGAAGCACTGTCTGATGTGAACCATGCCTTGCAGAAAAGAGCTCTCAGAAGACCTACGATCAAGAATTGTTGACTTGCATGAAGCTGGAAAGGGTTACAAAAGTATCTCCAAAAACCTTGATGTTCATGTGTCCACGGTAAGACAGACTGTCTACAAATGGAGAAAGTTTAGCACTGTTGCTACTCTCACTAGGCGTGGTCGTCCTGTAAAAATGACAACAAGAGCACAGCGCAGAATGCTGCATGAAGTAAAGAAGAATCCCAGAGTGTCAGCTAAAGACCTACAGAAATCTCTGGCACATGCTAACATTTTTGTTGACACATCTACAATAAGGAAAACATTAAACAAGAATGGAGTACATGGGAGGACACCACGGAGGAAGCCATTGCTGTCCAAAAAGAATATTGCAGCACGTTTGAAGTTTGCAAAAGAGCACCTGGATGTTCCACAGCACTACTGGCAAAATATACGGTGGACAGATGAAACCAAGATTGAGTTGTTTGGGAAGAACACACAACACTATGTGTGGAGGAAAAAAGGCACAGCACACCAACATCAAAACCTCATCCCCACTGTAAAACATGGAGGAGGGAGCATCATGGTTTGGGGCTGCTTTGCTGCCTCAGGCCTGGACGGATTGTTGTCATTGATGGGAAAATGAATTCCAGAGTTTATCAAGACATTTTGCAGGAAAAACGTACGACCATCTGTCCGCCAACTGAAGCTCCGCAGAGGATGGGTGATGCAACAAGGACAATGACCCAAAGCATACAAGTAATTCAACAAAACAATGGCTGCAACAGCACAGAATACGCCTTCTGGAGTGGCCCAGTCAGAGTCCTGACCTCAACCCGATTGAAATGCTGTGGCATGACCTTAAGAGAACGATTCACACCAGACATCCCAAAAATATTGCTACACTGAAACAGTTTAGTGAAGAGGAGTGGTCCAAAATGACTCCAGATCGTTGTGCAGGTCTGATCTGCAACTACAGGAAACGTTTGGTTGAGGTTATTGCTGCCAAAGGAGGGTCAACCAGTTATTAAGTCCAAAGGTTCACATACTTTTTCCTCCCTGCACTGTGAATGTTTACATGTTATGTGCAATTAAACCATGGCAACATCTAATGTTTGTGTAGTATTATGTTCAGCAGACTGTGTTCTTCTATTGTTGTGACTTAGATGACATTCAGAGCACATTTTATGCCCAATTCATGCAAAACTCCACGTAATCCCAAGGGGTTCACATACTTTTTCTTGCAACTGTAAGTACATGGATGTTGAAAAGGAGAAGGTTGTGTGTGTGTGTGGGGGCAAAGTTGAGCAAGCCTGTGAATGTGAATTCTTTAGATCTACTACAAGTATATAATATGGTGATCAAACGTTTGTGGACATTTGACCATCATAAAATATATGATCTTGGATTCCAAAACCATGGACATTAAAGTGGAACTTGTATGTCAGGAAAGCTCCACGTTATTAATAAGACCCTCCTCCTTAAACAATGCATAAAAGTGCAAAAAAAGGACCTATTATTAGGACCATCCTAACAGTAGTTTGAAAATATACTCACCTTATCCCGACAGGTGAAATCATCCTACTGCTGACAAGATCCCTGGGAATGCTCTATAGATGAAATTACAAGAGAACACTTTACAGCACAGTGCAGGATTATCTTCTTGCAATACCTGGGCTACTCAACACTCCCTGAGATCTGGCCAGAAGAAGGATGATGTCACCCTCACCTAGGTGTTGCTAGAGGAATCTGGGGAAAGGTAGGTATATTATCTAATTTTTCCCTCTTACAAGTTCTTTCTTTGCACTTCCATCCAGGATTTTAGGAAGGGGGTGCATCTTGAATAAGCAGACCTTGTCACTGAGGAAAAAGGCACACTTTAATATGGAGTCCCCCCACTTTTGCAGCTATAACACCCTCAACGTTTCTGGAAAGGCTTTCCACACGATTTTTGAGCGAGTCTATGGGAATTCTTACTATTTCAAGTTGGATGAGAAGACCTGTCTTGCAATCAGCGTTCCAATTCTTTCCAATGGTGATCAGTTCGGTTGAGGTCACAACCCTGTGGAGGCCACTTGAGTTCCCCACATCAGATTGGAACAGACATGTCTTTATGGAGCAAACATGTTCAGTAGGATTGAGGTCAGGGTTCTGTGCAGGACACTCAAGTTCTTCCACACCAAACCATGTCTTTGGGGAACTGGCTTTTTGCTCAGGGGCACAGCCATGCTGGAACAGACAAAGACCTTCCCCAAACCATTGCCACAAGGTTGGAAGTGCACAATTGTCTAAACTGTCTTTGTATGCTGTACTATTAACAATACTCCGTAATGGAAACATGATCAAAAATTTGGTCCACATACTTTTGGTCATATAGTGTATGTAGCACCGAATTGGCTACAAACGAAGTGGAATGTTTAGGTAGTCACTCAAATTACATAGGGGTTGATTTACTAATGGCAAATAGACTGTGCACTTTGCAAGTTCCGTTGCCCTAGAGCTTAGTAAATGAGGAAAAACCCTGAAGACTTCCAACATCCAATCATGTGCAAGCAAAAATGCTGTTTTTTATTTTTCTTTCTCCTGATTGGGTATTCATGCAAAACGAAGCTTTACCTCATTTACTAAGCTTTGCAGCAACTGCACTTACAAAGTGCACAGTCTATCTACCATTAGTAAATCAACCCATAGTATTGGTAGTATTAGTAAATGTAAGGGAGATTGCACACTTCCCTTTGTGAACATCTATAGAAACGGTGCCTGTTGGATAATCTGATTATTCATATTATAGAAGCAGTGTACACATATATACTTTTTTAAACACTCACTAGACCTCTGATGGCTTAAATACCGGCGACAGGAAACTTTGCTCTTCCATGTAGGCCTTACGGAGCCTGATGCCAAGATTGAACATCTGCTGCATCCCTATTGTGGTGAGCTGTCCTGGGAAGGTGCCACCCTGTGATGAAAACAAGATACAGAAGTGTAATGTGACTACTGTTTAATACGGTTACTGCATGATTGGGGGGGGGGGGCAAGACTCAGCATTTATATCAACCTCAGGATACTAATGGTTAACCTCTGCTGCTTATTGCACCACTTTACCCTGCTAACTCCTCAGCTGTGGATGGAATATAACCTAGGCATACCCCTTCCTTTAGATTGTAAGCTCCACGAGCAAGGCCCTTCTATTCCTTCTGTACTGAAATGTATTGTAATTGTACTGTCACCCTTGTATTGCAAACTGTTGGCGCGATATAAATCCTGTATAATAATAATGCTAAGCAGTGCGGTGTCTATCCAGCTGTGATGGATCTAGAATACCCAGAACCCCCTGCTGGTCCAATGTATGTCTATGTATCCACCATAAAACTATAAATACTAGCATTTTTTCAGATCTAATAAAATTCTAGGCAAAGCTTTGGATAATGTGGGTAAAGGTTAGACCCACCCTCAGGTTTTTTTGCTGTCTGTGTCACCAACCAATTCACCCTCACTTGGCACAAACGCAGGTAGTGAGAATGTAAACCAGAATATTAAACTTTTGCTATTTGGTCCCTTTTGGTCTTTTAAATATACTACTGAAGGTGAGGGTGTGGGTCCTCGGGACTACCTTGAAGTCTAAGGGGAGGATGTGTGGCCCTTAAGCTCCTTCCTCCTCTGATCCCGGTGGGGTCTCTCTTTGGGAGAGCCCCTCAACTCATTGGTCGGCTTTGGCTCACCACGAGGAGAGGGGTCTGCCAGGCCTTTTGGCTAGGCGCACCACATTGGAAACCTTGTCCCTGTCAGGAGCCTTGTGCCTCGGGGGATCAGGGGGATCCTTGTGCCTGAGGGGTTGGACAAAGCACACTCCTTAGTGTACTTTTTTGTGTGGCGTTTTGTCACTTGTACATTTTTTTTCACTTATTGGGTTTAATGCAGGCCATAGATGGGTCGAAAACCAGCTGTTTAAAAAAAAAAAAAAAAACAAAAAATTGGTCATTCAATAGGCCGATGTTACCACCAACGGTAAAAAACAAAATCACCCTCCCACCAGCCATGATCTGTGTAGAAGCATAGAGATCCAGTGATGATATCACTGGGTCTCAAAAAAGGTATGTAATGAAAACAGTAAAAGTTTTATTTAGACATTTTATGATCATATTGATGAGCCTTTTATTGCTGTCTGTATTCCGGCAGAGAGATTCACTCTCTCTATTTGTCCTGGTGATCACTGTCACCAGTGCAGACGGTGATGGAAATTCCAAAATTTCACAGTTGTCATCAAAATGTTTAGGGGGAAATTTCTCAATAGAGACACCTGTTCCAGGGACATTCCCTCTGTTTAAAGAGATGTCCTCTCGCTATTGGTGTCTCTAGGAGCATATCCTCCTCCATCCTAAACTTTTTAAAAAGTTGAATCAGTCTTCGAACTACAAATCCCAGCATTGCTTTACCTTGAGCTTGTGAGATCGATATCGCTCTTCGAATGGTGAGGGAGGTCTGGGTCCACCTTCCAGATCTGTGACTGTATAATGAAACTGAGTGTGTGCGGGAGCCTCAAGCAGAGTCGGCGACCACTCCACCTAGGATGAAGACATCAAAAAAAGCCTTTTCAGTCAAATGCTGGTAATGACGCTGGCCAAAGAAGTAAAAGACCCTGCATTCACTATATCCGGTCTCCCCGGACCCCCCCGCATTCACTATATCCGGTCTCCCCGGACCCCGCATTCACTATATCCGGTCTCCCCGGACCCTGCATCCACTATATCCGGTCTCCCCGGACCCCGCATTCACTATATCCGGTCTCCCCGGACCCCGCATTCACTATATCCGGTCTCCCCGGACCCCGCATTCACTATATCCGGTCTCCCCGGACCCCGCATTCACTATATCCGGTCTCCCCGGACCCCGCATTCACTATATCCGGTCTCCCCGGACCCCGCATTCACTATATCCGGTCTCCCCGGACCCCGCATTCACTATATCCGGTCTCCCCGGACACTGCATTTACTATATCCGGTCTCCCCGGACACTGCATTCACTATATCCGGTCTCCCCGGACACTGCATTCACTATATCCGGTCTCCCCCGGACCCTGCATTCACTATATCCGGTCTCCCCAGACCCCGCATTCACTATATCCGGTCTCCCCGGACCCCGCATTCACTATATCCGGTCTCCACGGACCCCGCATTCACTATATCCGGTCTCCCCGGACCCCGCATTCACTATATCCGGTCTCCCCGGACCCCGCATTCACTATATCCGGTCTCCCCGGACCCCGCATTCACTATATCCGGTCTCCCCGGACCCCGCATTCACTATATCCGGTCTCCCCGGACCCCGCATTCACTATATCTGGTCTCCCACAGTACACACAACATGGAAATGCAATTATTTTAGTAAATATTACTCACCAGGGGACAATTTATTTTAGTAAAATATTACTGCTAAATACCTTTTCTCATCAGCAGTTAGAGCAGTCTTGTGACTTCTATCAGTGTCCAGCCCACCACTAGCTACAGCTTGTAGGAGGAGTTTTCTTTCTGCTCTTGGAGGATGAAAATCCCTGGACATCTGTCTGGACAGAGCCGATTGGCCCTGTGCTGATCACATACACTCTCCCAAGATATTAAAAAAAAAAAAACCTCTCTAGCAATACACACCAAACTGAGCATGTGCATGCCTACGGTTCAGTCTGGAGATAAGACATGGTCGCTTGAAAAAGCGAAGGAACAGAGAAGAATGGATCAAACAGCCTTTTTTCACACAATGCAGAGGAATAACCCCTTAGGTTCCACAGTGAGTATAACAAGCATGCTTTACTGCATATACAGACTGATTGTACTGCTGTGGGTTTGGTAATACTTTAAGACTGAACTCCAAACAGGTATAAAATACAAAAATGAAAGCAGCTCTGTATTAATGACTTTTTATAAATGCAAGCAGTATCATTGAATGTGACCTGGAATCAGTATCTTGTTGCCCCTGTACAGCAGAGCGGGATTGTGAGAATAAGCGGCAGCACAAGGAGCCAATCAGTTCATGTGCTGACAAGGAACATGCTGATAAGAGGAGACAGCAGAGTGACAGAGATCTTCATTGTGCTGCTTCTCCTTTCACTGTCTAGTCATAGGCTGGGCAGGTCTACAGTGACCTGGGCTCAGAGAAAGTGAAAGTGAGGAAGTGAAATTGCAGTAACAGCTGGTTTTGTTATTTTATCCTTTAACCGCCTCCCACCCGCCATATAAGGTAATGACGGGCACAAGGCGGTTCTCTCATTCTGGGAGGACGTCATATGAGGTCCTCCCATTCTAACCTCGCGTGCGCGGCTCCAGTAGCACGCAGCGCGGCGATCGGTGGCGGATCACTGATCAACGGAAAGAGCCGAAGATGTCGGCTCGGTCATGTGATCAGCTGTGTCCAATCACAGCTGATCGCGTAAATAGGGAAATGCCGGTCATCAGCATTTTTCTCCTCACTAGCTGTCACGCTGACAGAGGAGAGGAGAGCCGGTAGCTTTACTCAGAGGGGACATGTACACTGATCATCAGAGCACTGATGATCAGTGTGCCCCGATGATCTGTGTAGCCCCAGCAGTGCCACCTGTCAGTGTCCATCAGAGCCAGCTGTCAGTGCCCATCAGTGCATATCAATGCCACATATCAGTGCCCATCTGAGCTGCCTTTCAGTGTTACCTATTAATGCCAGTCAGTGCCGCCCGTCAGTGCCAGTCCGTCAGTGCCAGTCCGTCAGTGCCAGTCCGTCAGTGCCAGTCCGTCAGTGCCAGTCCGTCAGTGCCAGTCCGTGCCGCCTATCAGTGCCAGTCTGTGCCGCCTATCAGTGCCATATATGAGTGCTGCCTTTCAGTGCCCATCAGTGATGCCTGTCAATGCCCATCAGTGCCACCTACCAGTGCCTCCTCATCAATGCCCATCAGTGCCACCTATCAGTGTCCATCAGTACAGCCTATCAGTGTCCATCACTGCAGCCTCATTAGCGCACATCAGTGAAGGAGAAAAATCACTTGTTTACAAAATTTTATAACAAAAATTAAGAAAAAAACTTTTTTTTTCAAAATTTTCAGTTGTTTTTGGTTTGTTTAGCAAAAAATAAAAACCCAGAGGTGATTAAATACCACCAAAATAAAGCTCTATCTGTCTCAAAAAAATGATAAAAATTTCACATGGGTACAGTGTTGCATGACCGCGCAATTGTCATTCAAAGTGTGACAGCGCTGACAGTTGGCCTGGGCAGGAAGGGGGTAGAAGTGCCCGGTAGGCGGGGTTAATGTGTTATTCTTTTTTTGGTGGTGCTTTATTTTAAAGGAAAAAACAGAGACCACTATTGCTCGCCTGCTACTTACCTGGCTGTATACCTTCTGAGGCGCAAACGTAGGCTCTGATAGCACCAACGCCAGAGGATCAGCACAGCAGCCAGACAACTAGCATTTCAGGGGTTTTTTTTACATCTATTATAGAAGAACAACCACCTAGTTCTATATGTTATTTTTGCAGGATGCCTTCAGACTTTTTGCTGAAATAAATCTCCTCTACAGCCCCTAGATGGCGGTACAAAATCACAGAAGAATATTTGTGCTGATTATATGGACATTAGAAGTAGCTGATCACAGCACAAAATCCCCCAGAAACCTCAGAATTGACTATTCTCGGATTTCCAGGGCCCTGACTATTCTCGGATTTCCAGGGCCCCGTACTATTCTCGGATTTCCAGGGCCCGTACTATTCCCGGATTTCCAGGGCCCGTACTATTCCCGGATTTCCAGGGCCCGTACTATTCCCGGATTTCCAGGGCCCGTACTATTCCTGGATTTCCAGGGCCCTGACTATTCTCGGATTTCCAGGGCCCTGACTATTCTCGGATTTCCAGGGCCCTGACTATTCTCGGATTTCCAGGGCCCTGACTATTCTCGGATTTCCAGGGCCCTGACTATTCTCGGATTTCCAGGGCCCTGACTATTCTCGGATTTCCAGGGCCCTGACTATTCTCGGATTTCCAGGGCCCTGACTATTCTCGGATTTCCAGGGCCCTGACTATTCTCGGATTTCCAGGGCCCTGACTATTCTCGGATTTCCAGGGCCCTGACTATTCTCGGATTTCCAGGGCCCTGACTATTCTCGGATTTCCAGGGCCCTGACTATTCTCGGATTTCCAGGGCCCTGACTATTCTCGGATTTTCAGGGCCCTGACTATTCTCGGATTTCCAGGGCCCCGTACTATTCTCGGATTTCCAGGGCCCGTACTATTCTTGGATTTCCAGGGCCCGTACTATTCTCTCATTTCCAGGGCCCCGTACTATTCTCTCATTTCCAGGGCCCCGTACTATTCTCTGATTTCCAGGGCCCTGACTATTCTCAGATTTCCAGGGCTCCTACTATTCCAGGGCAGTGTACACAAACAGAAGTGTGAGAGCTCTAAAAACAACTGTGCAGATTTCTACCGCCATGGCTGACTTGTTTTCGAAGGCACCAATGCTGTTGCCATTCCCATTCTTGCCTCATTTAGGGAAGGGGGGGGGGGGGGGGGGTTTGTTAAAACCAGGTGGTGGTTTTACCACCTCCCAAACACCCGCCTGGACACGAACATATGGCCACTCATAATGCGGTGCTTTGCGGCAAAACGTAAGCAGCGTGTCACTATGGGTGGGCGGTGCTGCGACTATAGCAGTCCTGTGGGGTCGCGTTGGAACCAAACTTCATGCAATGCCCATGACTGCGGCACATCAGTACAGCAATTTAGGGTTAAATCCAGGGGTAGACTGACCATTTGGAAACGGGCACTGCCCGAGGGCCCAGGGTCAGCAGGGGGCCCCATGAGATGCCCCTGGTACCTTTTTCATAGGCTTTTTTGAGTTTGGGCAAGGACACAGGGGCCCCATGATCCCCTATTGCCCGGGGGCCCCATGAGTTGTCAGTCCACCCCTGGTTAAATCAGGCAGTGGGTGGTATCTGCCATCAAGACGTCAGTAGCACAGGCTTGTGATTTGCGAGGTGGGGCCTCCATGGATCAGACCGTTTTTCCAGCACACAGATGCTCGATTGGATTTAGACCTGGAGAATCTGGAGGCCAAGTCAACATCTCAAACTCATTGTTGTGTTCCTCAAACCATTCTTGACCCATTTTTGCAGTGTGACAGGGCGCATTATCCTTCTGAAAGAGGCCACTGCCATCAGGGAATACCATTTCCATGGAGGGGTGTACTTGGTCACAAGCAATGTTTAGGTGGGTGGTACATGTCAAAGTAAGATCCACATGAATGGCACAACCCAAGGTTTCCCAGCAGAACGTTGCCCAAAGCATCACACTGCCTCTTCCAGCTTGCCTCCTTCCCGTACTGCATCCTGGTGCTGTCTCTACCCCATGAAAGCAATGAACATGCACCCAGCCATCCACATGATGTGTACAAGAAAACGTGATTCATCAGGCCAGGCCACGTTCTTCCATTGCTCCGTGGTCTAGTTCTGATGCTCACGTGCCCATTCAACACAACAAACACTTTACTCCTGCGCTAGGAAAGGACTCAGTAGACCCAATAGGAATGTTCTGGAATTTTCGGGAATATGCACTGCTTGCTGCCCTCAACAGACCGGGGTGGTCCAAATACGCTGGATACAAATGGAGAAACAGAAAAAGGGCGCACCGACCTAGTGCATTATCGTTTAAAATAATTTATTGAAGAAACAAAATAGGTATCATACTCACAATGGGACATATTAACACAGGCATGTCAAACTGAACAAGATGTATGATCCAAACAACAGAGCTCAGGGCTCTGAGGAAGAGGTTGTGTCCTCAAAACACGTTAGCCAGTTGGCCATCCAGGGTTCCATCGTATGGACTCAGATGTTGTTTGGATCATACATCTTGTTCAGTTTGACATGCCTGTGTTAATATGTCCATTGTGAGTATGATACCTATTTTGTTTCTTCAATAAATTATTTTAATCGATAATGCACTAGGTCGGTGCGCCCTTTTTCTGTTTCTCCATTTGCTCACGTGCCCATTGTTGGCCCTTCTGGCTGTGGACATGGGTCAGCATGGGCACTCTGACTGATATGCGGCCACGCAGCTCCATACATAACATACTGTGATGCCCATTTTGTGAAGGGAAGTGAGGAGGTAAAAGTGAACCGGTTGCTTTACCCTGCACAGAATGAGCACAGGTACACTTTAACCTCTTCCCGCCAACGTGGCGTATATATATATTCGACCTCTCGGCAGGTGAGCTTTAAACGCCAAGAGGCCGCATGTATGTGGCCCTATGTAAACAACTCTCTGTGCTGAGAGTGTGCGCCCTGAAGGACACCGGAAGAAATCGGAAAGCTCCCAAAGAAAACTAGCGATTGGGAGCTTTCCAATCGTGTGACCGCTGTGATAGCCAATCGCAGTGGTCACATGATCCAAATGCCCGCTTCCTCCTCTCTGCATTTAAAAGCTCTTAAAAGGGCCGGGGCGGTGGTCGGAATAAAACAGCAAAGATGACATCGGTCTCTGACTTTCAACTTTAAAAAATCATCTGTGGCGAGTTCCATATTTATATCCTAACAGGTTCCCTTTAATAAAAATTAGCCTCCCTTTCTTACCTGCTGATTGTGAGGAATGGGCTTCAGGGGGGTTCGGGCTCCATGCCGAAACACCACTTGCACCAGTTTCAGCTCATACTCGGGGTTCAGTCCGCTCAGCTGCGCAATGTCCCTCTTCACTTCGGCTAAAGCGCTTCTCTTCCTGTGCAGACAATAGACGATGGATCCCAAAAGACCGGCACGCACCCACACACTCATTGTGTGCCTCTATAGGGAGCAAAGGTAAGAAAATAGCGTCACTCAATACCGAAATACAAATCTCCTCCAGCAAGGCTGACCAACCACTGAGACCCGGGGGGGCCGTTGCCCCCCACCTGTGTACACCGGATGACGTTTAGTTTACTGACACACTGCGTATCATAAACAATTTCCACGTTCATATAATACCCCTTTTCTCTTTTTCTTCCTTTACTTCTCACATCTCTGTGCTGCTGATTTCCAGTCTCTTTGGGCCACTTCCTATCTCACTCCAGCATTGGCTTTACTTCAATGATCTGCACCAACTTCCCAATTACCCCCAGTTCACATATCTGCGTTCCTGCGGTCCGCGTTATGAGCGGGCACAAGAGCCCATTCATTTGAATGGACTCCTGTGCCCTGGGACACACAGGAAAGAAGTCCCTGCAGTTCTTCTGAAAACACAGCCCTCAGGGGAATCTCGGTTCCCAGTGTGGTTGTGATTTCCAGTGCGGGCAGCGTGCCATTAGAATTAATGGCACCCGCACGCGGGTCCGCATTCCTCTGTGCGGGTGGTGTGGCTGCACGGATTTTTGTGCGAATCCGCAACGGCACCACCCGCACATATGTGAACCTAGCCTTAGGCTTTCCACCTCATCTTTTTAAAACGGAACACATAATAATGACACAGGTTCTGTGGCGGGTTACGGTGGTAATTAAACTCATTATGTGCAATAAATTAGCCCCAGAACTTGTGTAATTAATATGTGTTTGGGTATAAAAGGATGAGGTGGCATTCCTATTCTTGATGGTGACAACAGTGGACCAGACCTGTGCAATGTGTGTCAGCATGGACCTTTGTTATCTCCACCAGGGCGTGAATGTGACAGGGTGACAACACAGGTGACAATCAGGGGCGGACTGACCATTTGGAAACTCGGGCACTGCCCGAGGGCCCGGGGTCAGTAGGGGGCCCCATGAGATGCCCCTGGTACCTTTTTCATAGGCTTTTTTGAGTTTGGGAAGGACACAGGGGCCCCATGATCCCTTATTGCCCGGGGGCCCCATGCGTTGTCAGTCCGCCCCTGGTGACAAAGAAGAAGTGTTGTCACATTCAGTTAACACGCTGGCTCCCAGTGTTGTCACCCTAACCCATAACAGGAAGTGCCTGAGCAAGGACCCTCCTGGCAGGATAACGAGGAGGTAATCATTTAAAAGACAGCTGTTCAAATCACATTAGTATGTTAAAGATTTCATTGGATTGGGTTCAAATCTACAAATCAAATTCTGGAGACATTTGTTATAGAGGAGGATTCACTGACTGATTTGTATTCACTCAGTCATCCTCAGAATAAAGATCTCAAGGCTTCCATCTGCATGATTCAAGTAGAACTAAACTCAAATGTTTTTTTTTCCTGTTAAAGATAGACTAAGAGAGGGTTATAACCCCCTTGTTTGTGATCTGTGCCCCATTGGAGATACTTCCCTTTGCTGCCTGTCCCATAACAGAAACAGGAAATGAGAGGAAATCCCTCCAAATTGTCACCAGATCTAGTGTCCCCATTTATTAGCTCAATCATCTTCAGAAGAAAGATCTCACGGTTTTCATCCCCATAACTAAAGGCAAATTTGTAAAATCAAATTCTAGATTTAGTAAGGAAGGGTTATAACCCCCCTCAGTTTTTTTTGCCATCTGTGTTCCATTGGAGAGATTTCCTTTCACTTCCTTTCCCATAGCCAAAGCAGGAAGTGATAGGAAATCCCTCCAAGATGCAGGGCTCTTGTGCCCATTTATTAGCTCAATCATCTTCAGAATAAAGATCTCACGGTTTTCATCCCCATAACTAAAGGCAAATTTTATAAATCAAATTCTAGATTAAGTAAGGAAGGGTTATAACCCCCCTCAGTTTTTTTTGCCATCTGTGTCCCATTGGAGAGATTTCCTTTCACTTCCTTTCCCATAGCCAAAGCAGGAAGTGAGAGGAAATCCCTTCATGATGCAGGAATCCAGAGCTCTTGTGCCCATTTATTAGTTCAATCATCTTCAGAATAAATATATCAAAAGTTTCCATCCAAATGATTAAATTAGGACTAAAGGCAATTCTAGGTAGAGTAAGGGAGGATTACAACCCGTCAGGTTTTTTTGCCACCTGTGTCCATTGGGAAGATTTACCTTCATTTCCTGTACTATAGCCAAACAGGAAGTGAGAGGAAATTCCTCAAACGTGTCCCCATGTATGAGCTCAATCATGCTCAGAATAAAGATCTCAATGTTTTAATTAAAGTAGAACTATAGCGGACCTTCTAGGAAGGATGGCTGGAACTAATGGACTTTACAGGCACCAGGGGCGGACTGACAACTCATGGGGCCCCCGGGCAATAGGAGATCATGGGGCACCTGTGTCTTCGCCCACACTCAAACGACACCCAAAAAAGCCTATGAAAAGGTACCAAGGGAGTCTCATGGGGCCCCCTACTGACTCCAGGCCCTCGGGCAGTGCCCGAGTGCTTGAATGGTCAGTCCGCCCCTAATAGGCACATAAACGTCAAACAATAATTGTTTTGTTAAAAAAAACCTTGATTATTTTTATTACAAAAAGGTTTATATGAAAAAGTAAAAACAACAATTCATAAAAATAACGCTAGATATACTGTACATCACAAACTGAAAAAATGTCACACCCTAACAAGGAAAATTAAAATACATAAACCCCCTGGCAAATTTATACGATATTAAGGTACCAAAAGACCACCGATGACTGAGATGATCTTGTACAGCTGTGTATGTACATGCCAAATGGTTTTTTTTTCCCAATTTCAACTGAAGTTGGCGCTACATGTTTCGCAACTTCATGAAACACAAATAGTTGCAATCTAATAGGAGTAAAATACACAAAACTTAAAAATGATTGTGGCAATATAACAAAACATCCACTCTTCAAAAGTTTAGTATCGTGTTTGATTCACTTTAAGTAATAGCTTCTATATCAGAAAGGAACCATTCCAGAGGCCAACGCAGCTTAATCATATAATGTCCTAAGGCCCCTTTCACACGGGCGTTCCGTATGTCCGTTTTTCATCTGTCCGTTTACGGATGAAAAATGGACCCATGTATTTCTATAGACTAGCGGATGTAAACGGATGATCATCTGTTTACATCTGCTAATGTCCACATCTGTTAACATTTGTTTTTTTGAACGGAAGAAAACCTTACTTTTCTTCTGTAAAAAAAAAAAAAAAGGATGTAAATGAATAAAAAAATGGATGTAAACGGACATACAAATAAGGATGTAAACTGATGAAAAAGTGGCATGAATTGATCGTTTTTTTTTCTTGGAAAAAATGTGACTGAACTGAATAACCGCCTCCCGACCGCCATATAGTACAATGAAGGGGCGCAAAGAGGTTCTCTCGTTCTGGGAGGATGTCATATGACGTCTTCCCATTCTAACGCGCATGCGCGGCTCCGGGAGCACGCAGCGTGGTGATTGGCGGAGTGCTGTGTCCCTCGGGCAGATCACCAATCGACAAAAAAGAGCCAAAGATGTCGGCTCGGTCATGTGATCAGCTGTGTCCAATCACAGCTGATCACATGTAAATAGGGAAATGCCGGTTATCGGCATTTCTCTCCTCACGAGCTGTCACACGTTGTCAGTGTTTCCTGATGATCATTGTAGCCTCAGCAGTGCCACCTGTCAGTGCTCATGCCAGCTGTGCTCACCCCACCTGCCAGTGCCCATCAGTGCCACATCAATGCCACATATCAGTGCCTACCAGTGCACATCAATGCCACACATCACTGCCCATCTGAGCTGCCTTTCAGTGTCACCCATCAGTGCCAGTCAGTGCCACCTATCAATGCCAATCAGTGCTGCCAATCAGTACCACCTATCAGTGCCAGTCAGTGCCGCCTATCAGTGCCATCAGTATGAGTGCTGCCTTTCAGTGCCCATCAGTGATGCCTGTCAATGCCCATATGAGCTGCCTTTCAGTGCCCATACCAGTGCCTCCTCATCAGTGCCACCTATCAGTGTCCATCAGTGCAGCCTATCAGTGCCCATCACTGCAGCGTCATTAGTGCACATCAGTGAAGGAGAAAAATCACTTATTTACAAAATTTTATAACAAAAACTAAGAAAAAACGTTTTGTGTTTTTTTTTTTAAGATTGATTAAATACCACCAAAATAAAGCTCTGTGTCACAAAAAAAAAAGATAAAAATGTCATATGGGTAGTGTGTTGCATGACCGCGCAATTGTCATTCAAAGTGTGACAGCGCTGACAGCTCGAAATTGGCCTGGACAGGAAGGGGGCTATAAGTGCCCTGTAGGCTAGTGGTTAAAAAGCAGAATGCCCGTGTGTGAAAGGAGCCTTGGATCAGCCTTTACAATTGAATACATCACGGCCCTAATATTAATACCTTTGGTATTGTATACATCATGTTAAGAAGGTAATTAAAGGATACGTCCACCTTTGGGAACATTTTACATGTTCCACACATTTTTAGGGTTGGAACATGTAACATGTTCCCATAGCTGTAGCCGCGCCCGCCCCCTCCCTCTGATAGATAGTACAGAGAGAAGTTTCCCCGTACTATTTGTCAAATTTGAAAACAGCGTGAGCGGCAGGGATCCGCCCACACGGCTGCGTCCCTCATTCACTGAGTTCTGTATATGAGTGCGTACTAGTCCCGGCAGCCTTAGCGGCTGTGGGCTTGTAGTTTTCAATAAACTACCACGCTGCTGTGAAGCTCTATGGTCGTTCATTGAAGCTTCCTGTTAGAATATCCGCTTGTTCGTACATCCCGTACGGCAAGCACATATTCTGACAGATCGGCATGCCATCATCGATCTACTGATTGCTGGTGCAATGCTTTCCAGGCTCCTGCGGACAAAAATTAAATGCACATTTTTTTACCTGTAAAACAATGTGCATTTATTCTTTTTGTCAAAAAGATGAACTTATCCTTTAACTCTGCAAATACCTCCATATAATATATATCCCAAGAGTGGTCGTAATATTTTTTTTACT